AGCAGGACGCTGTCACGCAGCAGCCCTGTGTCTCCTGGCACAGCCCCCTGCCCGGGACCACCGGCTCTGGGAAGGCAACCAGAGCACCTGGGGCCTCCTCCGCTCGCCACCGCAGGCCGCCTCTCCCACTGCAGCCCGCTCTGGCGGTGCTCGCAGGGACGCCGGGAGGATCGAAAGCTGCCTGATTAATAAAGTTCCTTGCTTTGCACTACTGCAGGCTGCTTAAGGGCAGCATTTTCAAAAGAGGTCAGCTCCCATTTAGGCATCGAAATAAGTTGGTTGCCTATTCAGGAGAGCTCAGCATGTCAAGAACTGAATGCTTTTGAAAATCTGGCTTCAATTGTGGAAGCTGAGAATTTCGAAATGTGGCCCTGGATCCTAATAGTTCTTTTGGAATTGATGTTTTCATTCATTTTCCTCATTATTTTTATGCTGGCCGTTTACTTTTTGTACTTCACTCAGCTGTGAAAGACATGGCCCCATGTCCCTATTTAGAGCTCATATTCTGCCTGGAGGTTTGGAGAGGTACCATGCACTTGTTGCAGCACACCTTCTCTCTTCAGTTGCTGCTCAATACTCTTCAATCTGCCCAGTACTGTGGCCAAATTTTTCCATCTCTCCTTTTTTTGTCCCCACCTATTGCCCTTCATCTTTTTACGGACCTGGGGGCAGCCAGTTTAGTCATCGTATTGATGTTCCTGGGTGGTCCTAGCTCACGAAGGGTCCGTTACGCGTTTCTGCGCCTTTGGCTTTGCCCTTCTGGCCAGAGGCTCCGTGCGACGCAGAGCTGCAGGGAGGTCTGGTTGGGAACTTCCTTGCCTGCCCCCTCCACTAGAATGGACTCCAAGGAGCAACTCTTTTCTGTCCAACATTTTTCCATCCTGCTGCCAAACCCAGCCAGATAGGGGGGAATGAGTCAGCTTTGCTCTGTAGGCTTCCAGCACTGAGGAACGAGACGTTAAGTCCTACTCCAAAATGTTTCTTCTATGTTGGTGGAATGCTTTCTATCCCCAGCAACGCTGATGGTGTGAGGAACAAACTAAACCTGGGTTTTAAGCCTTAACTAACTCAAAGTCTTTTCCAGATGAGTGTAATTAGTGGTGCATCAGCAGTGTCAACAGTGCACATTCTGGTGTGGACAGACCTCAGGCACTTTTACAGCCGTGGTCAGAGTTGGTTTGCACAAGATGGTTGCGGCGTTTCTTTGGTAGCTGTCTTACATGGAGAAATTAAATTGAGTAACTCAGATGCTCTCCAAGCCGACAGTGAAAGGATCTCGTACAACTGATGTGCTGGTTGGTGGAGGAAAACTCTTCAAAGAAAAATTGTTGACACTCTCTTCCCTCTTTGGAGGAGGAGAGTGATACTGGGAAGGATGAGGCGCGTGGGAGCAAAGTTGCTGTCTTGTTGCCTTGGTACTGGGTTACCTACAGAGGATTCCAACGGGGCTGTGGGCCGCGGTAGTTAGAATATGAGTCCAGCTGATCTTTCTGGGTACCTTCAGGGTGTGCCTAGCCTGACAGCCAATGGCCAAGCTCTGTCCGTGCTCCTGGCCACCCAGAAGCCGTGTAAGGCTATGCCAAGCTTGACCTAATTTACCCTACGTATCGGTGGGGCTTGATATCTTGGGCTCGCGGCCCCGCTAACTGTGGCTGTGTTCCTCCTGGCAAAGACCTGCCTTGCCTTGACCGCTCTGGGCCGACTGGCTGAGTGGGCTCGCATCGGCCTGCAAAGCGCCACCTAAAGATGCTCTTTGTGTTGTTTGCAAAGCTCCAGCTGCATGTCACTTTATTTGGCATTGCTTTCTTTAGAAATAGCCAGTTCAGACGTGGCTTTTCTATTTCCATTCTCTTCTCAACTTTACACAAACGTGTCCTCCATGACTTCTTCCCCAAGCAACGCTTTGGGGTGTGGGGAGGGGGGGAAGGAGAAGGGGACAGCTTGTGGGGCTGTCAGAGGGACA